GCAATGTCGACAATGTCGACTGAGCCCATCAACTCTTCAGTTTCGTTGTCTAAAGTTCTTGAGCAGTGTACTGCTAATCACCGCAAACAGCAGGATAAACTAAACGCATCTGCTCAATCTCAAGCTAACGTTAAGCAACCCCAATCGACCCCAAAGTCGAATATTCCACCCATTACCATTCCGAGGCTGACAAATCTTCCGATGCTGCAGGACCTCTTGAAAAATAACAAGCTTTATGGTCCCAATAAAGTGGCAATACGCACCTCCGCCGGAGGTCTCACGCGGCTCTACGCCCAGGACATTGAAACGTTCAGATCTATTCAAAACCTTTTTGAGAACGTCAAGCTTGAGTTCTACACCTACCAGCTGAAGCAGGAAAGGCCATACAAGTTCGTCATTAAGGGTCTGCATCATTCCACTTTGCACTCTGCCATTAAAAATGAACTTGGTAGTCTAGGGTTTAACGTCACTAATATCCATTGTCCAGACAACACAAAGAGACCGGACAATCCCATCGACTTATTCTTCATAAGTATTGCACCAGGCTGCAACAAAACTGACCTCAAGAATATCAATCACCTGGATGGTCAACGGATCACTATTGAAGAAGCTCGCAAGAAGCAACAGTGGATCCAGTGCTCGAGATGCCAAAATTTCGGACACACAGCAAGATATTGCAGACAGACTTTTGTGTGCGTCAAGTGCGCCGAGCATCACAAAACTTCTGAATGTCTTCTTCCAGAATCCGCACCCGCCACCTGCGCGAACTGCGGTCAGGACCACACTGCAAACTATAGGGGATGTCAAGCGTACGCGGCTTACGCAGCCCGTAACCTGCGCAAGCCTCGCAATCCTCTCTCACCTGCAAATCAGCCTGCTTCCAGCCAGGCCCCCTGGCAACCCAACACTCCCGCCTTACCTAACAGTTCATCAGATACTCCTCATCACCACTCTCGTCCTACGTATGCCCAGATGATTAGAGGTAATCACCATAACGTTAGCGAATGGCCGTCAGTAGGGCACTTCATAGATCCCGGCCACTCATCCAGACAGGAAGCCCGTACCACCTACATGCCTACATCATCCACTGCGCAGCCAAGCTCCGAGTTCCCGGCACTCATCGCTTCTCTCAATACCCTGAACGAGACAGTCGTCAGACTAGTCAAAATGCAGGAACAAATGTTAAGCATGCAGTCCAAAATACTGGACCTTCTCGTCGCGCGTGCCAATAATGTTTAATACAACAAACATAATGTGTTGGAACGCCAGGGGGGTTTCCAACAAAATGCGTGAGCTGGAACTCTTCGTTCAACTTCACGACATTCACATCCTGCTTATCAGCGAAACCCAATTACTTGACGGCTTTGTGCCTAAACTCTTCCGCTTTGCCTGTCACACAGCTAACTATCCCTCTACCAGCCATAGGAGAGGTGGCTCCGCCATTTTCGTCCGGGAGGACATTGAACATTTTGTAACCATCCCAGTTCGATCTGACACTATTCAACTGGCCAGGGCAAGAGTAGCCACGGGGTTGGGATATGTAGAGTTTGGCGCAATCTACTGCCCTCCTAACAATCAACTGTCCATGGCAGACTTGCTTGCTATATGGCAATCCCTAGACCGGAAATTCCTTATCTGTGGCGATTGGAACGCTCATCACCAATCTTGGGGCTCAGCGAGAAGTAATTCTAGAGGTAGAGACCTTTTCAACTTCAGTCTGGCAACATCCACACAGATCATTGCCACGGGCAGTCCCACTCGGTTCCCAGACCATAATAGACAAAGGCCTTCCTGTCTGGACTTTGGTCTTTATAAGGATATACCTCAATGGAAACTGAAAATCGCCGCTCATAACGACCTTGGCTCAGATCACATGCCCCTGGTAATCTCGCTGGATGCAGCCGTAAAATGCTATCCTCAGGCCGAAAGACTGATCAACAGGAATGTTGACATAAACTTATTTAAGCTGATCTTAAACAATAAGTTCCATCCTGAATTAGAATTGCACTCGGAACAGGATATTGATGACGCTCTGAAACTCTTCAATGAGAATATTCGCTGCGCAGCCAAGGAAGCCGAAAAGACACGTTCAAGCCATGCACCTCGCCAAGCCGGATCGTTGGTGCTCACTTCGGAGCTACGTTACTTATTGCAGCAAAAGCGTCGTCTGCGGAGAATCTACCAGCGCACTCTACACCCATTAGACAAATCCAACTGGTGCAGAGCAGCAAACACACTCAGATCAGAGTTGGCTCGTCAGCGGGCGCAGATGTTTGATGACATGCTGGAAAACATGTCCACAGCAAAGGATGCCAAATTCAGCCTTTGGAAAGCCAGCAGAAATTGCAGACGACAAGTCATGCGGCAAGCCCCCATTAAAAATGGACCGGACAGTTGGTGTCGCTCAGATGAAGAGCAAGCGGAGGCTCTTGCGTCTCACTTGGAGGCCCGCTTCCTGCCTTATACACTAGCATCGCAAGAAGACACACAATCAACCGAGCAAGCCCTTTTGACCCCACTACAGCTCGATCCACCAGAGGAGCCGTACAATTTTGATGAGGTGGCATCAATAATTAAACATTTAAACCCAAATAAAGCCCCGGGACACGACAACATCTGCAACCGCACTCTTAGAGCACTGCCCGAGAATGCTATCCTCGTTATGGTAATAATTTTTAATGCCATAACGAGGCTTCAGTATTTTCCAGCAGTGTGGAAGACTGCGCTTGTCGTAATGATCCACAAGACTGGCAAGCCTGAGGAAGACCCTGCTTCATACCGACCCATTAGTCTCCTACCTTCTCTATCGAAGGTCTGGGAAAGACTTGTCATCCGTCGGCTGGTAGCAGTAACAGAGACAAGAAAGCTAATTCCACCTCAGCAGTTTGGTTTCCGCGCGGGGCACGGCACAACTGAGCAACTGCATAGAGTGACGGATCACATCCTCAGGGCTTTTGACAACAAAAAGCACTGTAATGCCATCTTCCTGGACATCGAACAGGCCTTCGACAGGGTATGGCATCCAGGACTGCTGCAGAAGATTAAGGAACAGCTGCCCTCACACTACTTCGCTCTGATCCGATCCTACTTGGAGGGTCGTTCTTTCAGAGTGAAAGTCAAATCGAGTCAGTCCTCCACATACTCGATTGCCGCTGGCGTACCCCAGGGCAGTATCCTTGCTCCCCTTCTTTTTTGCATCTTCATAGGCGATGCTCCTCTTCCTGATGCTTCAGGCTCTGGAGTCTCGTCAAATTCAACCTTGGTGGCAACCTATGCGGACGATATCTGCGTGTTGGTGTCAACAAAATCCAGCTCCACAGCGGCGGTAATTCTCCAAGACTTTATTGATTCCTTTGTTCAATGGGCGAACAGGTGGAATATTAAAATTAGCGCCACCAAAAGCAAGAGCTTATGCTTTTCTTTAAGAAGGGAGGCGCCCGCCACCGTATTCATCAATGGCACCCCCCTGGAAAAAGCCCGGACGGTGAAGTACCTGGGCATACACTTGGACAGCCGGCTCACCTTCAAGCCCCACATTCTGGCGACTGTTGGCACCTGTCGCGCCCGCCTCAAGCAGATGTCCTGGCTGCTACACAACAAAAGCAAGCTGTCCCTCGCAAACAAGCGCATGTTAATAATACACACAATAACGCCAATCTGGAGGTACGGTGTACAAGTTTGGGGAGTCGCCACAAAGAGTAACCGACAAAAGATCCAGTCAATGCAGAACAAGGCCTTGCGCCAAATCACTGGATGCCCCTGGTTCGTTCGGAACTCATCCCTGCATAGAGATCTCAAAATGGATTCAGTGGAAGAACAGATCTCATTTCATTCAAGCCGGTATAATGACCGCCTCAAGTCCCACGCCAACCGGCTGGCAAGAAAGCTGCCAAATTCGAAACCCATTCGTCGATTAAAAAGACGACAGTTCGAAAACCTCATCGCTAATAGTAATTAACTTACCTAAATATATATGTTTAAATTTAGTAGTAAATGTTAAACCTGTGATGTAAATTTTGTTTCAAGGGAGATTATAGGGCAAAAAGATGCTCTGGCGCTTCCTAATAAAAATGAAAAAAAAAAAAAAAAAAAACAACAGAAACTCGACTGAACTCAACTTAACTGGAGCCAAAGAGAGCAGCAACACGAGGAATAACAATGCAATGCCAACAGCAGCAACAACAACAACAACATCAATAGCAACACAATTGTAATGGGCTGTAAAGTTTAAGGTGTGCGTCTGTGTGTGCGTGCCTGTGTGTGTGTCGGAATGAGTGTTGAATATTTGGACAAGTTAAACAAAATAATTTACGTCGGCACATACAAAAGAAAATAAATAAAATTCCAAGTTATTTAATAGATGTGCTCCTTAGCATGATAAAATCTTCCAGCTTTCATTTGAAGTAGTATAAATTGCGTTTTAGTTCATCGTTTTGTGGACTTGCGACTTTTACTTCAATTCCTGCAAGGAGACTGTTTATTTCGCGCTCACCCACACGTTACAATGGCATATATGCGTCTCACTCATACATAAGGGACTAGCGTAGCTTATCCATGTATAACATTTATGTGAATTGTGTATTTTTTAAACAGCAGATAATTAAAGACAAACTTATGTTTATTAATACATATGGATGGGCTGAAATCAAATATTTTATATAGCAATAAGCAACTTAATATTGAAATAAATAAATACGTGCATATACACGCAATGTGAATTCGCCCCATCTGCTTCAGTTACTGCTCTCGCTTACTCTTATAATTGAACGAATGCAAGAGCTCTTCATCTCACTCGCACATACTGTGTGCGTACACACGATTGAGTGAGTTGGTCTTTTAACAGTGCAGCGTATAAGACCTGTGACTCTTATACTGTTAATAAACTGACTCGCTCTCACATGTTGCCACTTTTGATCGAGAATCACTGATAAAACGGACGAACTTTTTAGTTTTTTCTTTTTTGATTTGGCCTATGGCCAAGAACTAACAACAAATTTAACACAACAATAACCAACAATACAAAACAAATTATAACCAGAAATACTGTTACTTAACCCTAAGCACCGCCACGATGTCCCATCATCGGCTTCTTGCACGTCTCTTTCATTTCCGTTGCACGCGACTTGCGCTTGGGACTGCTCCTAACATGGCCATAACGACGCTTCAATGCGCGCCAAAGACAGGGTACGCTCATGTCGATTAAGTCAGATGTAACAATCTTGGGGTCTAAGAGTCTAAACAAACACAACTTCGCCCTGCGAATCTGTTGCAAATAAATTGATTATTCCAAGAGTTGGGCTGCAATCTGCGCTCTGATCTTACCACCAATTCGGAGCTCTGAATGTAAATGTGTTTGCGGGAAGCAACATATGTGTAGTCCTGCAGCTCCAGATCTGGCCTCGTCTCCGTCTCCACACGCTCGCGCTCAATGGGCACTGGTGGTCCCATCACTGCTGGCCATATCTTTTGAATACGCATCTGCAGCTCCACCTTTTGGCTCCACTCTTTGTAGTTGGCTGCGCCCGATAGCAGCGGAATAGCCGCGGCGCGACGATGAGCCTGCATATTTCTATTTAATGTCGAATCTGTAGCAGTTTGAACTATTGATCCGGTTGACAGCAAAGGGAATGCCCTAACTGAGCTCCAAACCGAGCTCTGAGAGCGACACCTCAATTTGGGTTCAGGCAAGCGTTTAGCAGCTATTCTCGCAAGTTTTTCAGGCCGTAACCACGGCTCTAATGAGTGCTTGTCCTGGCGCATTTTACAATTAGCCCAAAAGTCAGCAAAGTGTGGCTCACCTGTAGTCCTGCCGTTTTACTGAACAACACACACACACACACACACATACACATACATCTCGTCTGGCTGTGCAGGTCCTTCGCTCACAGTCTTTGGCAATTAAGTGCTGGCCAAACGTTGACCACAGGCCAAATGACTGGAGCCAGTTTGCTTTCATTAATTTTTGGCTGTAATCCTTGCTGAAGCTTTTCATTTCATTTTAGTTGTCGGCTCACATTTGCTGTTGCTGTTGCTGTTGTTGTTGTTGCTGCTGCTTTTGGCGTTGCACGTGCGTGTGCATAGTTCGTCTCAGGCCTTTTCACACTTTGTTTCTACGTGCTGATACCCTTAGATAGCCTTTGGCTATTTTATGAACTTGTCTACTTAATTATGCGTAACTTGTGAAAGTCACATCTGAGGACTCGGGCGACAGTTTCTTGTTATTGTAATGAGCTCTTGCCATAATCACTCATTAAAATGCAGAAATGAAAGCATTTGTAATCGGCAATTTAACTATTTGATTTAGCTTTCATTTTTGAAAGATGCAAAATATATACATAGCAGTATATTCCTAACTCTATTGAATATACTTGTTACAGAATTGTATAGGAAAACTGCAGATGCTTATGTCTCGTAGTACTCTTATCACTTATATAGTTCAGTCGATCTTTCACTTGAATTCCGTTGCTGCTTAGCATTTTCCTGAGTCGCTCAGCCGCTGTGAAGAGCATTTTAAAGTCGAGTTTAAGCTGGCATTTTCGCTTCTTCTGCCTTTTTTGTTTCGGAACGACTGTTGAGTTTTTTCACAGTGGTCATGTTTTTACAACTGGGCCATGTCCAGCGGCGTCCAGGCCACGTTAATGACTTTTGTGCTGCGCCTGTCGCACGGCAAATGTTTTAAAACTGTCCGCTCGTTTTCCTATTGTTGTTGCTGCTGTTGTCGTTGTTGTTGTTGTTGCTGTGCAGCTGGGCAGCGATTGCCGGCCGGTTAGCGCGTTTGCCACAGACGCCCGCAGTGTTTGCCAGGACAGCGGGCAACCGAGTCATTTGTACAGGTTTTTTGCAGACTTGCTATGAATAAGGCGTGGGCGATATGGTTACAGGGGCTGGGCGAATGTCGAGCGGTAAGGGAATTGTTAATTAAAGTATTGTCTCCTCGTTGCTGGCAAAATGAACAAGTAGACAAGGACTCGTCGTCGTTGTCACTATGGTTGTTGTTGTTGCTGCTGCTATTGCTGTTGCTGTTGCTGTTGTTGTCACTGTCCTGGGCATGGCCCTGGCTGCCCTGGCCGTCAATTGTCGAACATGGTGCTCTACAGTTCCACTTAACAGCTACAGTGGGCACTTTGCCACAATGAATTCAAATGGATGCCCTGACCGGGTTGCAGATTTTCTTCTCTCTTTTCTCTTTTCTCTTTTTTTTTAACAATTTCCAACACTCTGCACTCGCTCTCTCTGCTGCTGTCTCACGGTCACTGTGGTGCCTGCCATGTTTGCTACATGTGTTGTTATTGTTATTGTTGTTGTTGTTGTGTCGCTTCAGACATACACATGTATCTACATACATACATATATATATATATGTATGTATGTATGTACATACACGTGCACATGACATGCACACAATGACAGCTGACTGTTGGCTTCCAAAAGCCCCCGAGGCACACGAGTCAAGTACAAACAGTCGTTGGGCCAGAGGAGAGCACGGGGCAGGCGCCAGGAGAGGGCAGCAATGAGGTATATTTCCCGCTCACGGGCACATTTTGGCTCGACGCGACGTCCGTCGTGTTGTGATTCTTTAATGAAAGCTTTAATTTGGGTTTACCAATTAAAACTACGTGGCAAATGAAATATACATGCTCAACATACACACACACACACACACACACACACACACTCACTCACACACAGAGCACAAAAGAAATGGCAGAAAAACATAGTAGAAAATAACGAACTCTTGATATACATATGTATGTATCTAGTTATATATCTGAGTCCGACACCAGACGTGTAAACTGAAGCCAAGATGTAAGGATGTTCGTTGTCCTGCATGTGTGAGTGTGTGTGTGTGTGTGAGTGTGTGCGTGTGTGAGTGTGGGTAAAATGAATGAGAAATTACAAGAGATTCCAACTGCACAATTTCGGTGAATGCTTAAGTACAGTCTGCAACGAGCAGAATTGAGAATCGAGGCGATTTCCTTGTGAAGTTTGGCAACGCTGAAATCGCAGAGGTCAAGCAATTAACCTAAGTGAATTTTTATTCATTTACCTCGAGTTCTGCTCGGAATGCAAGCTGCATATGTATTTGAGCTGCTATTAAATGTAATTGGAGCAGATGAGCATTATAAAGGATTAGAAATCTGGCAGAATCTTGCAGTTGCCTTTTGCTGAACTTTGTTAGAGTCGGCCGAATAAATAGATTGATAAATGAAAAAGAGATTCCAGAGTTTCAAATCGAGGAATGATTCGTTGAAATGTATGAAACACCCAGAAGGAGGTGTGGCAGACCTCATAACGTATATATTTATATTCTTGATCTTCTCGACGATCAGCTGAATTAATTTAGCCCTCCTGTCCTAAGCATGAACGCGTCGATCTCAGAAGATATAAGAGCTAGATACTCGAAATATGCCTTAGTAAGTCCATATATAGCACGCGCATATCGAATATGTTTCCAAAAATCGATAACTACTCACGTTTTTTTATAATCGATTATCAAAAATCAGCTATGAAATTATAGCTCCCGCATCCTTAGAGCGAGAGACATCAGCCTTTAAATATAGATTTTTGTGTATTTTACACAATTTCGATTTATGTACAAGCAGAAAAGAAGCGAATGCATTATTGCAATAATATCAAATCCTCGAAAGGTTCAGGGGATCTCGTAGTCGCGTAGTCTCGACTAGAACTTACTTGTTTCTCTTGTTATTTTTTTTTTTTTGTTTATAAAGCTCAGTACTCGTGTGCAACATGCATTCTAAGTGGCTCGAACATGTGTGATCTTTGTTGGGAGCACTTAGACCTTATCAAAGAGTTTAAAACTTGTACTGGCTGACATCCATTAATTAAGGCAGGGCGCCACGTCGCGTCGTTTCAGTGGTCTGTTGCGCCACCGGACGCTACAGCACGAAGTCCTTACTTGCAGCACTCCAGGTTGAGCAGAGCGAACTGCAGCTGACCAAACAACACCTGCTGCCCAGCTGGCCATGGCCGCAAGGCGACTTCCGTTTCCTTCCACTGCTCAGCTCGTGCGCACCTTTTTTACTTTTACTTAATTTGCCCTCACATGACGGCCAGCTCCCCCTGCAGCTGCAGCTCCAGACAGTCCATCCGTGTACACGTCAGCAAGGACATTATTGCCGCTGTTGTTGTCCGGCTCCAAGCGGATGCCTGATGGCTGTCGGCTGGCTGATGGGTTTGTTGGCCGCTGTTGCACGGGCTGCTATTATAACGCCATTTTGTGCACACACACACGGTCTCTCTCTCTCTCTTTCCTACGGCTTGCCACTAATTTTTTACACATTTTTCAACTCTCCATTATCCTTGACTATATTTTTTCGTCTTTTGCTGTTGTGTTTTTTTCCAGAACGACACGATGCGCTTGCTCTACATGTATCACGCACAGGATCCACCGCACGGCTCAGTGCGCCCGGGCACCCTGCCCGATCCGGAGCGAGCCTTCCGTCCGTATCGGCCAATGGTGCTGATGCAGCGCGCCCAGCTGCAGCTGCCATCGCCGCACGACGAGCGCGTTCGTGTGCTGGAGCTGCGTAATGAGGACGTGGAGCTGCCCGCCGGCGATACGCCGCTCTTCTGGTGCAAAATGTTCAAGCTGGAGGATATCAATCGCAAGCATCATCTCATTCGGGTAAGGCGCAGCCCGTGGCCATGACTAAACGTTAATGCTTATATACAATTCATAATTGAGGCCAAGTGCAGTCTGCTGCATTCGGTATCCATTTTCTTTTCTCCACTGTTTCGTTTTTCTTTTTTTTTCGCCTCGGCATAACCAAATTGAAATATTAAAAATTTATTTATCTCTGTATCTCCAACGCTCTGCAACGCTCTCCTTCTGCCCGGATTGTCTCTGGCTGGCGCTCATTTTCTTTTCATGGGACCGACAGTACGAGCCGATTTATGATTCATCGTCCAGCGTGCACTACTTGCAGCACATAACGCTCCACGAGTGCCAGGGGGCGCACTCGGAGCTGGAGGAGCTGGCACGCGAGCAGGGCAGACAGTGCATGGGCGCCCGCTCCATACCGCTGGCATGCAATGCCATTGTTGCCTCCTGGTCGCGGGGCAGCGAGGTAAGCATCTGATTCAACTGCACTCAACTCAGCTCAACTCAACTCAGCTGAACTTTCTCATCCCCATGGCCATCAGTGTCAGAACCATAACCATGCAATATTCATTTAACCTTCGCAAATGCTTCCTTTCAACACAAAATACAAGTTAGCTTCTGCAGCGGAATACGAAATTTTAAATACCCTTAAATGGAATCTCTGTAAGAGATGGAATAGAATAGAATAAAAGTAATCTAGTCTAATAAATTAATAAGTCTCCTTCTCCAATTCAGTCTCTTTCACAGTCTTCAATATTATTCGTAGATCTTTAATAGAGTAATCAACGCTAAGGATCCTTCTCTGTTTCATTATCAATTCAATCTCAGAGTCAGTTACATCTTCCCACCAAGTGCATTCGCTAGCTACTCGAGCTCGACTTCTGTCAGTGTATATTCACGAAAAAAGAAATGGCTTGGCCTTCTGCACTTTCGGAACCTTTTTGCCATGCTTTTCATAATTTCATCACAGGATCGCTGCCATAATGCAGTGCCATGTGCTGCCGCCAGGGGGCGCTACTGCATTGCAATGCAATTGAATGGCAACGGCTTGCGTGGTGACTGGGTCCGAGGCAAGGCTTTGGGGCTCCTGCTGCTGCGCATTTAAATTGCACATGACCATGGCATCAGCTTCCGTCCTTTATTTGCCAGCCGTAGTGTATATAAATACGTGTGCTTATACATATATATACAGACCGACGTGTATAAATATGTATATTACAAACAACAGTCGTATCTGCTTTTTTATATGCACTGCCTCCAAGTGAAGTCGGGTATATCAGTATTATGAAAGGTATAGAAAGATATGGATGTAATATTAGAGATTCTATATCAGAGATTATTTCAAGCCTCCATAAATTTATCATCAGCATTCGTAGAGTGTATTGCGCAGTTGGTTAAACTCGACTCGACTGAGCCCTTTTCCTATTTTTGGCGAGGGCTTTTGTTTCATTTGTTTGCGTTTGTGTTTTGCAGGGATTTACGTATCCACACGAAGCGGGCTACCCGATTGAGTCGCGACAGGCCAAATATTATTTAATGGAGACCCATTACAACAATTTGAAGCCGGACTTTGCCCAACTGCATGCCAGACAAATGGCGGATAATTCTGGTTTGAAAATCTACTTTACGCACGTGCTGCGACCAAATGACGCTGGCATTTTGTCAATCGGTAAGTTTTGGCTTGGGTACATACTAGATATACGTATATATACATATAAGTGTGTGTGTGTGTGTGTGTGTGTGCATGACTGCAGTGCCTGCTGCTGTGTGTATAAATTTTATGCGATGTGATGGGATGCGATGCGATGCGATGCGATCCGAGCTTTCATATATGCAACTCATGTCATGCAATTTATGAGATTGCCGAGTCCAAAAAACGACCCTGGGAGTTGCTCCATCGGAAGCTGGGGGCTCCAGCACTGCCAACCACATTGGTGGCAAGTAAAACAAAAGCTTATGAGTTTTGTGTCCATACATAAAAATAGTAGGGAGTGAGTAAGTGTATGTATGTGTGTGTGTGTATGTGTGTCTGTCTGTGTTGTGGGTAAAGGTAAGTCCTGGCGGAACAGTTGAAACAACAGCCTCGTGCATTGTCTATCGGGCCAGACTGCTTTCACGATTTTGTACAATAGAAATATATTTTTAATTGCTTATCAAGTGCGCCTCGGAGGTTGCAGAGCAGACCAAACAACGGTATTTGTATGTGTGTATTTCTCTTTTTTATTGAATAATTTATTATTAAATGGCGCACAGTGCACGCAGAAGGCGCATAAATAAATTAATAATGACCATCTAAAACTTTGTAGCATTCAATAATCGTATTATTATAAATTTAACTGAGCCTGAGGGTTGAAAATACGTCAATTAAATTTAGTTTGAATATTTGTAATGACATGCGGCAGCCACGAGGGCTAATTTAATATTATATAGTTAGTGAAGTATAATTATTAGGAATTGAGTTTCGGTATTCCAAAGAAGCCCGTGATAGAGTCTATAATTTATTTGATCTAGTCCTCGAGTGCCTCAATTTGTTTTTATGGGCGATTCTCACACATTTAGTTATGCTGACTCGCCCACTTTATCTATGATCTAATTTTCTATAGTATTATTATTTAAAATTATGGTTATTATCAATCAATTGGAGAGCTCACACAATCAGTCGCTCATTAATTCAATCAAATTAGACACTCATTCAGCCAATCCTATTCAATCAGGAATACGTCAGCGTAGAGTCAGTCATCAATCACTTATTATTTCAGAAGTCAGTCAATCATACAATCGGAAAGTCAGCCTATCGGTCTCTCAGTCAATCGCCTATATATTTATTGTCCGATAATCTGCAATACTCAGTCCATCTGTAGAACAGCTAATCAATCAATCAGCTATAAGTCGTCAAAGTGGTTTCTTCGCCTTATTCCATATATGCACGTCAGTCAGTCAATCAGTCAGCTTATGAGTCTGTCAATCTCTTAGATAACCATTTATAGAGTAGCAGTCAATCAGCGGACAGTTATCAATCAATTAGTTTGTCATTGAGTAAATCAATCTTAGGTGATTGAAGTCAATCATTCAATTGTTAAACTCTGTCAGTCAATTCGCTCAGTCAGCAAGCAATCAGCCAGTCAATCATGGGAAAGTCATGCTCTATATGCTCTCCGTAGGTTCGTCAATCGGTCAGTCAATCAATCGCCAATACAATTATTTAGACTACAAGCAATTACACTTTACGTATGTCTCAGATTGCCAATATTCAGAGAAAGTTTTCAAGCAGCCCTCGCCGCATAAGCCACAACAAGAATATTCGTGTGCTCGCCTAGCTTAAGCGCTTTTTGAGTACATTTCCCGCTGACTTAGTACACCTGAACCACCACCAACCCCCCCGCTAGGCAAGCTCAACAAATTTTCAGGTTTTCCCCATCCCCATGTATGTATGTATGTGTGTGTGTATGACTGTGCCTGCGCACAGGATAACTAAAATACTAATTTCACTTTACAATTTGTTTTCTATTTTTTTGCTCTCTCTCTCTCTCTCTCTCTCTCTCTCTCTGTCTTTCTTTTTTATTGTGCTTTAACTCCCTCTACTGCATCTATTTCTTGTTGTTCGGCTTTTGGTTGCTTCGTTTGGTTTTTCTATTTGCTTGTGGCCACCAGCCGGAGTGGGCGGGCCAATGTGGTCGCTGTTGTTGTTGTTGTAGTTGTTGTTGTAATTGTTATTTTACTTTTGTTCATAGTCACGCAAACCAATATAACTTTGTTACAACCGCACAGAGACATGGCCAAACACAGTTGGGACTCCCTCAGTCTGTGTGTGTGTGTGTGTGTGTGTGTGTGTGTAAGTGAATAGGAAGTAAGAGAATAAGCCATACAGGATGAAGGTATAGGGCTCCAAGCTACTCACACTTCAACCAGCGCACGTTCTCGTCGATGCTTTTTGAGTAGGTGTTGCCAAAACTTCCGGAGCATTACGGCACAAAAGTAGCAGAAGTAGATTAATACATTCTGATACGCTGCAATTTCTAAGCGAATCAACTAAAATAAAAAATAGCTGAAAATACAAAAAAAGGTATATAAATATATATGTATATACATACATATATGTATATGTATGCCACGTCATGCAGCTAGCCTTAGAACTTCCTGGTTATGCTCGAGTGGGCTTTGCTCTGCAGCTCTTCGAGCAGCTGGCAATGCGATTGAAATATTTAATTGAAATTTAACGCATACCACAACACGCCAGTCAATAAATAAAAAATACATACCTGCATCTATATAAAAATTAAGCAATATACATATATATAAATATATGTATATACATATATATATTCGATACATTTTGCTGGCACGCTATAAATTGAATTACGTTGACTCTAGGAGTAGGAGTATGGAAGGGTGGCTGGGGCTGGGGGCCGAGGTATGTGGCAAAGCTGCTCGACGCAGCACGCGTAAGTAGCTGTGAAATTGCTACGCTTCCTGCTGCTGCAGGACTCTGACTGTCTGCCCATAGATCTGTGGGTCTCTCCGCTGGGCCTTGCTTTCTCCCGCTCTCCCTCTCGCCCTCTCGCCCTGTGTGTCTCTGTCGTCCGTGTGGCGAAATTTAATTTCAATTTAATTGGTTATTGATATAGCGCCCTGGTGTATGCAACGCCGCTTTGATTAATGTTGCTGCGGCTTGGCGAATTTTTTATGGCACCTTGGAGATGGCGCAAGGAGAGCGCGATTGGAGCTTATCAGAGAGCCTACGAGCCTGTTAAGCCCACTGGGGCTTATAACCGAAAAGCTTAAAGAAACAAAAAATAAAAATTAACATGAATAAATTGATGAAAATGAACAGAAAATTCCTTTAAAAATTCCATACAAAATATTTTGAGGAATCTGCCAGAAAGTTCCTTAGCTTCTATATATGTATTGAAGAAAATAAAAGTGCTTAATTTTATTTATTACGCATTGGCAATATCTAGCAATCAAACAGATCATTTCTGCAATTCAATGTAAATCGTATCCATATCGGAATTTTCTAGTTCATCTCGTTATTTTCAATTCAATTTTCAATTACGAATACGTATTCTAAATTGAGGGCCTGTGGAACGAGCAGCCAAAGCGAGTCCTGTCCCATTTCATCTGCTGTTGGTCACTTTATAAAATGTCACGAAATGAAATCAATCAATGTGCTGTGCGCAGCGCGTCCACTGGGTGGAATCGTCATCAATTTAATTCCAAAATGCAATTCATGCGCATTTATCAAATTTTGTGAATTAAAGTCGTGGACAACTCTCGGCCAATTGACAGTGCGAGTATCACGAAAGAATGGCGATTGTGCCATTCGTAATTTAATTACTGCATCTAAAGCATTAATTAGCCCACTTTTTTCTTTCTCTCTTTTTGCTCTGCTCTTGTTCAAGTGCAGTCATAAAACATTTGGTTCCAAAAAGCGAGCTTTGGAAATGTTTATGAAAATCAACTGTGACAGAGATTTCAATAACACTTTGCAACATAAATTACAGTCAGCGTTTGTCACTCCCTCTCTCTCCTTCTCCCTCTCTCTCTTTCTATCTATCTATCTGACTCTACTGTCCACTCTCGCTCGTTCTTTGGATGCTTTTTGCCAATTTCCATTCATTAAATCAAATTCAATATTGGCCAAAGCGACGCAACGAGCGAGAGTTTGATTTTCAGCTTGGCTCTGCTGTTTGGCCTGGGGGTTGGGTTGGGGGCGTGGGCTGTGAATGTCGAGGGCTTATAGTGCGGTCTATTCGGCTGCATATCTATTTCGATTTCTATTTGAGTTGGCCGTCAAGCACAACACAATTCATAAATGCACATTTTTCAAATCGATATTTAACATACGGACAGTGGGCGTGGCCGTGGTTTGATTTTTGGTCATTTCGATTGACGTTGCCCCACGCCACGCTGACAGCGATAGCAATTCGAAACGCAGGCCGTATCAAAAAATCAGCAGCAACATTTCTAATTATTTTAAATGGCGATTCGCGTCGCACCTGTCGCACCTGCTGCAAAACTCAATCTCGATTCGGGGCTATTCGGGTCAACATTTTCCCTTTTATTTCCATTTTTCTGTTTTACTCGTGACAATTTGATTGGCCTTTCAGCCAGGCCCATTGCCCTAGCTGCGAGATAGTTTAACTAAAGCGCGTTTGCCGCAGTTGCGAAATATTTAATGCTAAATATTTGGCTAATTTAATGGGGATCTGTGCGACTCGCCGCCGGCTAAACAGCGATTGTTATGCAAGCTGTCGCTGCCAGCGCTGAGCCTCAAATTAAAATGGATTTTATTTAGTTTAATGCCAGATACGCCCAGCAGAACTGTAATTGAAATATATATACAGATATATGCGCGAAATCGTAAATTGAAATAATGTTTGCATAATGCCAAATGAAACCGAAAAATAAAAATTTTTTTATAAAGCCAAACTTAATTGAGAAATTCTCAAATTTTAATTGTTTAGATATTTAAATGGTATCATATAGGAAAGGCTGTCCGTATTCGACTGCAATCCAGACAATATGTGCAATCTTTGTTCATAGTTGAGACTTCGCTTGGATTAGCTTGTCGTAGTACATAGGTCCACCTCCAGGAATTTCCTACATTCCACTAAAATCTCTAGCTGAATCATAGAGTTTGCTTTGCTTTATGCATTCCAATTTGTATCTATCTATATCTTTATAAAATATAAATAATATTTCAGTTATTTTTCAACCAATGCCATTTGCTTAGTCATTCAGTGGCTGCTCAATAAATAATTCACAATGCTGGGCGCGAGTTGATTCGCAGTTTTATCAGTCATATTTCGTTATGCAACACTCGCAACAAATCGCACCACAAATCCTGAACGAGAACAAAATGTGACTTGTGCGCCATTAAAATTGCATTGCAGTTCTGTGACTTGGCGCTGCGAGTATTACAGAAATGCAATCAACTCGATGTCACTCGCAGCGCTCGCCGTATATGGAATGTTGCTAACCGAGCATGACTAAGCTATAAATAAACTCCTGCAATTCCTTTACCGTAAAAGGGCTTTAAAAAACAGACGCCCATGCGGATTCACAATAAAAATCAATTGCCGACCGGGCCATAGGGCACGGGGCATGGGGTACGGGAGAGAAAGGGTTTTTTCTCTTTTCACAAGCAATGCCAAGCATTTGACGCGGGTAATTTGATTGGCATACTCACAGCAACACACTCACACACACGCACACATACATGAGCAATTGAAATGCCAAACAGTGGTATATAAAAATATGTAGCACACATGAATTTCAAATATTTTTTCAACATGACGCGCGACACGCGGCCCTAATTGCGTAGCCAAGTCGAGCCGAGTCGAGTCGAGTCGAGTCGAGTCGAGGAGGCTAGCTCCGAGCCGTGCAGCGCGTCGTATGAGCAATATTTCGCAACATTTAACTAATGGATATCGCGCATAACTAATTCAGTTAAGGCAAACCGAGAGTGAAAGAGAGACAGAAAGAGAGAGAGAGAGAGAGAGAAAGATAGCGAGACAGAGTGAAACTCATTCACACACATAATTCGATTACCGAAAATTGATAAAAGACTAGAAAGATTCCTAATTGATACGGATGCAGCCTCGCTTTCTCAATCTCCCACTCTCTCTATCTCACTCTCTCTCTCTCTGTGAGTGGTGCTGCTGTCATTTGGCGGTTTTGTCTGCGTTGCTGCACTGACAAAGTTGTTAACAAACATCAAAAGCAGCAATTAAAATGTAATTACACGTTTCCCTCCAAATCGAATTAAAAAATCAGCGTTCAAAGCTAAGTAAGTTGAGTGCTTGGCGCTGCTCTGTCTGCCATCTATGTGTGTGTGCTAGTGTATGTGTGTGTGTGTGTATGTGTGTGGGGAAATGTGCATGTCGTGGCTTTGATAAAGCGCGCTTTGCGCCACTCTAAAGCGTTAATTAAAAGAATTCAACACACGCTCTCTCAACATTTGCAGGCATGGATGCCAACTGGCGCCACATTATTCCGCCGGGACAGAAGCGCGTGATATCCGAGGGCCAGTGCATTGAGGACTGCACCGGCTACGCCTTTCCCGCGCAGGGCATCAACATTTTTGCGGTCATGATGCGCACACATCAAATCGGCAAGGAGGTTAAGCTGCGTCAGGTGAGTGACTAGAATGTCCCGCACTCTGCACTCTGCACTCCGTAGTCTGTAGTCTGCATCCTGCGAGCTGCCCAGATTTCCGCTGGGTATTGAGGGCGAAGCTAAGCCAGAGCCAATGCTAATGAGCAAACTAACTTTGCAGATACGACAAACCGAGGAGCTTCCGCCAATTGCACACGACAGCAATATAGATGTGGCCTATCAGGACTTTCGACGTTTGCCTCAGTCTGTGCATTCCATGCCCGGCGATAGACTCATCGCTGAATGCATTTATGACAGTTCGTCACGAAAGGCAATTACGCTAGGTAAGTGCTCCCTGCCCCTCCCCCGCAGGGCCCCACCATATATATAGGTAGAGTAAATAAAAATAGCAGGCAGCCATTGTCGTGAGCAAAAGTGCAAAAATTTCAATGCTCAACCGTCCGGGCAAACGGGCGAGTCGTCGTTATGACACATTTAAATCAGCCCAAACGATATGCGACAGCCGGCTGCAAGGAGCCGTAAAGTAAAAAGGCGAGCAACTGCAGCCACGGAGCAAGACTCAGGCTGAGAACTGGCACCCGAGGAGCGAGAACGGAGAACGGAGAACTGAGAGCTGGGAGCTGAGAGCCAGGCACCGTCAGTTGGAGCGACGAAAAAAAAAAAAGTGAAACAGAATTCAGTGCACGACAGGCGCCTGGCAAGTAGATGAAGGCAACAGTAGATGCCGTAATGGAGGAGTCGCTGACGACCTCATTGTAAAATACATAAACCAAGACATTGAAACATTTCACTTAGCACGAAACAGTCAGGTGTTAAGCGGGGAGCAGATGCACAATTGCACGAGTAATGTGAATGTGTGTGGGTGTGTGAGTGAGTGGGCGTGTGCAAGTGTGGGCGACGGGGCGAGCCAAGTGACAGGCGGTGAAACCAAGCTGAACTGACAGCTGAGCAAGTCCCCAGCAAAGTGGACAATGTGACAGACGACAGTCAGATGCGATGCATTGGTCCAATCCAAGGGGAAGTGGGAAGTGGGAAGTGGGAAACGGAACGTAATAATATGCAACAGACAACAATGAGAAGAAGTTGATCACAGCATAAATGGTTATTCATTAAATGAAGTGCAGGAAATTGCATTAAATATTTGTATAATGGATATTAAAGAATATATACTAAGGAAATTCTTGGAAATGACAAGAATTCATATGGGTTTATTAAAGGACTAAACATAATTACTATAGTTCTATTCTATTACTATAATAAGATATGTAATACATATACATATGTATATATCATGAAGTTAAATATTTATTAATATATATTATCATCAATAATGTTTAGTCCTGTAATACAACTCAAATTTGTTTTTAAATATTTTAATAAGAAACATTATGGATATCTTCAATGTTTAGTCCTGAAGTAATTCCATTTCTTACCTTCTAACTTCTATTCAAAAAGAAGTTACTTCGATTCCACCAAGTATACTCCAGCGCTTACAGCTTTGTTGCCTTCGTCGTTTTGTGGAAAATTTGCAGACTGAGCAAATTTGACTTTCTTGCTTGATGCACACACAATTCGCAGCACTCACAATCGCGAATGAATAAGTGAATGAATGTAGCGGCAACAATTGAGTGCAACTCTGTGGAGACGCAATCGTAATAGACCATTGCTAACGATGTTGCGCTAAAGGGCGGCGCAGAGATGCGAAGATGAATTCGCATGCTCAACCAGACAGACGGACAGACGGACACATGCGACTAGAAATGCTCTCAACTGAGCAGTAAAACGGGCAGTCAGGCGTATGCATTGAAAACATAAAGCTCCCAGCTTCCAGTTACAGCTCCAACTGCAGCCTCATCTTCAACAGCAGCGCCAGCTTCAGCTGAAGCTCAAATAAAGCAATGATAATGACACAGACGATGAAGATGCCGATGCTGATGCCACTCCAAAGACAACTGTGCACAGTTCCAATACATCCTGCATCCTTCAGCCTTCAGCCTTCAGCCTTCATCCTGCCTGCTTCAGGCTTCAGTCGCCAAGTGACATCAATGTCTTCTGGTGGAATATTATTATGATGGCGCCTGCTGCTTTACGGCCGGCACTCGCTTAATTTTCCCTTTTGTTCATAGCCAGTGAGGCGGCGAGCCATGGAAATGAGCGCAGGCGATATCTGCGGAACGGCAGGCGGAGTCGCAGGTGGAGCTCGGAGAAGCGACAGAGACAGGCTTCGCTGAAGACGCCTCACCTGGCCAGCCAGCCAGGAAATTGTCCTCGCTGGTGACTGTCGTCAAAGCTGGTCGTTGTATTTATGCATTTTGTGTGTTGTCAGCCGTGCAATATTTTCTTTCTTATTTCAATGTAAATTTATGCCCTAACCGAGGCTGTTACAGCTATGCTAGGAGAAGCGTAACGCAAGGAAGTAGACGAAATCTGGCTGTAGATATGAGCGATCTATGCGTAGACTAAATATTATATATGGGAGCAATAGAAAATTGAAGCGAATGGATGTAGTATATAATGATATTTATTATAAATTGAAGATTAAATACCTAAGGAGAGGCAGTATAACAATTATAATAATAGTAAATATATTAAAAAGAGGTCTATTACTAATGGTTATCATAATAACTTACAATAATATAAATTATTTTAATAATAATGCTAAAAATAAATACCCATGATTTGATCAATATATAGATCAATATCTACCAGTTCTATAGACCTCTGCCAGGGCAGGGTATTTAGTCTTCGACTTGCCCGCAGTTCGCTCTCAATTCAATTCATTTCCTTTCGTTTTTATTTTCTTTGTCTGTGTGTGTTTTTTCTTTCGTTTGTTTATTCTGTTTCCGTTTACTTGTTGTTTCCGCTGCACTTCTTATGCGCTTCTCTTGCTCGGCTCTCCCTTACAGGTGGCCTCACAATGAAGGAGGAGAGCTGCACCGTGCTGACACTCTACTATCCGCGCCAGAAGAAGCTGACAACGTGTCACTCTCTGCCCAGCCTGCCCACTGTGCTGCATTCTCTCGGCATCGAACAACTCGCAACGTAAGTCCTCACTTGTATTATACAAATTTTATACATGCATTATATATACACGCACGCACATACATACACATACAGTAAATGGGGGAATTTGCATAAAGTCGCCCGCTGCAGAGCCAACGGCTTTGCCCACACAAAGCGAAGCGAATGTCGGTCGAGCCACATTAAACTTGGCTCAAAGTCGGCAAAGAAAAATGCTCGAGTATCGATGCAGATTATGATTGCAGGAGGAATCAAAGTGAACCATGTAAATCGAGTGGATGCCAGAGGCTGATTAAGTCAGCAATAGCTAAATGCATGATAGATCAAAGTGATTGATAGATTGATTGATAAATTTAATATGGTATATGGGTTGACTTTATTTGTGGTTTAAAAATAATATGAAAGTAAAACTGACAAATAGAATAACGAAGCGGCTACAGAGGCATTCATAATAAAATTAAAATTATACAAGTAAGGGTAAGGCACATTTTAGATTTAAAAAAATATATATTAAATTAGTATTGATCGCTCAATAATATCTTACTATAGTCAGAGGCGAATGAAATCTTTAATATTATCAATAATAGATTTTCGTGCATTAAAGTCTTATTTATATTTCACTCGAAAATACATGACTTAGAAGATAAGAAATGTATAAATATTTCAAGAAATTAATATAGATAGTATCTATTAGTATCTATTAGATACAAAGCGAAATGAGTTTTGTAATATATTTAGTTTAACAATATTGAAGATTTGATAGATTGATATTCGTATAGATGGATGGTAGAGATTGATCCATAGATAGATGATGTAACGAAATTAATTTAAATTTATACAACATATTTTATTATCACAATATATATTTAATATCAATAGAATAATGATACCACGTAAATTTATATTAAATATCATAATACTATTAAAAGTATTGTAAGAAATTATTAGAGAATATATTCATATATGCAATATATCAATGCTACCCAGTGACATCGTTTCTGCGTCACCTTTAGCTATGTACTCCCTGTAGAGACGTTCCTTTTTAAGGAATGCCAAGAAATTTGATCCCATTGTACTTTGGCTTATGCACTCGCTGCCGCCACACTCGACGTTCGCTCTCGTGTATAAGGAAATTCAGTTTATTTCTCTGTTGACTGAAGTAATTGGTGATTTAATGATGTTGCTGCATAACCAAATCACCTAACGAAGTCGCAGTTGACAGTCAACTAGGCGAGGCACTGAAGAGCAGCGGCTTGAGCGGAGAGAATAGTTTGAGGAGCAGGAGCAGAAGCAGGAGTAGGAGCAGCGGGGCATCATCATCATCGGGTGTATTCATCGATTTGAAGTATTTGCGTAGCAAACAATTGGAAAATGAACTGAACTCTGTGCGCAGTGCTCTAATTGTAAATGTGCAAAAAGTAAATTACGAGACATGAATGGCGGGTAGCCAAGCGGGGGATGGCGGGGGCAGCTGAGCTGAGCCACCACAGCCTCAACCTCAGAGCAATTCGCTTTATTTAGAAAATATTGATTTCTATTAATGCCGAGTGCTAAGCAAACAGACCACATGGCCAAAGCAGCCAGTCAGCCATCCATACATCCATCCATCCATCCATCTATCCATTTATCCATCCATCCAGTCAGCCGTCAGGTCGCACGGATGAGGCAACCGCCAGCTCTTGACTCCTGAATGGCTTTGGCTCCGTCTACCAATTCAAATGCGGTCGGGCATAATCACCTCGGGGAGCCCATAAATATTGTATTAAAGCGTGCGCTGAAAATTAGTCCAAATTAAACCTGAATGCCAGTCGAGAGATTCATTTTGAATTGATGTGCCGTGGCCAGGAGTGGGCCAGCAGCGGGCCAGGAGCAGGATGCCATTTCGAGTCGGTCGGCAGGGAGAGAGCCGCACGCTCCCTTAATCACTTCCTATTGACACAAGACCGACGCGGTCAAGTCAAAATCAAAGATAATTTTCCGAGAAATGTGGAGGGAGTGAATACGTTTTCTTTTTCCATTTTCTTCGTACCTTTGCGCAAATCAAAGTAAACGCCATAAATGGATTAGGGCAGGTGGAAACGGAACCGCTGCAGAACATGGCCATTTAAATGAGTTATGCATGGGCAACGGCCTAAATGGCAACTCAAATGGGCCAAAGCGATTAATTGACGATTTGTTTATGGCTCCAGTAATAGGTTATTCCAATTAACTTGCGAAATTGACGGGCCTGAAAGTTAAAGCGGCTCGAAAATGGAAACAATTTGCGCTTTCACTTGGCCAAGTTTATAAATTATGGAGCATTGCAATTATTCTGTCCGGTCAGCCAAAGGCACTTGCTGTGATTCCATTTGGTGCCATTTGGTGGAACGGAATGAATCATCAATGAGTGATTGCGATTCACACTAAACTGAATGAGCTCGTTGCGAATCATGGCGAATCGCTGAAATCCATTCGCATTAGATCATCTCCGATGAGTGCACACTACATCTCAAAGGCACATTTCAGCGCTTTTCCTTCAGCTCGGCTTGTGTCCTGCTCCCGCCTCCTGCTGCTGTTGCTGCTGTTGTTGTTGCAATTGTTGTCGTCATTGTTTGCTTTGTTGTTGTAGGTGATTGTGAGGCCCTGCCATACAGTGGCTTTTTGTCCTGATATGCACATTCAATGTGCACCCACACAGACACAAACACTCACTCACGCACACTCACGCAGTTGAACTGCGTGTACCGAAAATCGACATGAATTGATAAAGTCATTTGCAATTGTCTGTCTTTATGGTTCGCTCTGCCAGCTGTTGTTGTTGTTGTTCTTGTTGCTTTCGTTTCGCGCGTTTGTTGTTGTTCGCTTTATACAATGGCATGAATGCTTGCATTGGCGCTGTTGTTATTGTTGTTTCTGCTGCTGCCGGCCAGTTATTATGGCTACTGCAATTTTGTAGCGCTTAATGTTTCGGCTCCGGGCTGGGCGTCCGTTTGCCTGTCTCTCCGTCCGTCTGTCTGACTCGACCCGGGCCTGAACCAAAAGTGCGAATGCGATATGAGGATTAAAATTCATAATGAAAACCCCAACGATGCAACAACATCAACATCAACATCGACAACAACAACAATAACAGCAACAACAGCAAAATGGAAATTGCTATAGTTGTTTTTCAACTACAATCGCATGTGAAAAAGGGGTAACAGCCACACAGGGCAACCCAGTCGGCCGGGCAGTCAAGCAGCCTTGCAGCCGGGCCAGACAGAGCCAAATCAGTATTTGGGAGGGTGGCGTATGGCTCTGGATCTACCACAAAACCGCTTGTGCGCTTCAAGTTTAATTAAACATTGACAAAAACTAGACAATGCCACAATAGACTGACTGAGCTCTATAGGTAGATTACAATTAAGTTTTGCGAACTGCCACGAGAGGCAGCGAGAGGGCAGACAACTGATTGAACAGCTGCGAAATTATTAAACAACCACAACAACAACAACGACAATGCTAAATGTATTTGGGAAGTCGGCATTTGAATGGGCAGGTATGAAATTAGAGTACTATAGAGAAAAGTGAATAACTACGGAGTAAGTAAATAATTAGTGAGTCGAACTGGTCTATGATTAGGTGGTTGCATATAGAGAAGTAGCAATTATAAATGGACCTCTTAAAATTTAGCAGTTTAAAATTGAAAGAGAATAGGGAAAAGTATGGTATAATAGTGGCATAACGAAATGGAAGTATGATATCATAGCTCTATTTGAATAAACGAAATTAAAGATTAAAAAAATAAATAGTAGTATGAAAAGAAAATCTGCTAAAAAAGGGATACAGAATTGTATTGCTGCATAAGATTAGAAAAATAAATAGAGAAGAAAGTAGGGTAGTAGGGTAGTTTAGTAGTATTAGTAGTATAGTAGTGTGGTATTAAAAATAGCAACACTTAAAAAAGTAGAAGAAAATGGACTTTATGTACATGGAGAAAGAAGTAGGAAGATGTTTGAGGCTTAAGTAAGCTCCTTAAACAAAACACAAACAAAGGTGCATAATTAAATAGGAGTAAAAGAAAAGAAGAAACTCAATATGAGTCTTGAACAAATACGAATTAATATTATTAAATTAGACAAGAGCAATATAAGATATACAATCAGGAAAGAGTAGTGAATGACCAGCAAAGGGCGTACCAAACTATCCATCAATCTATCAATGCCTTAGCCTTTTGGGAATCATTACACGTCAAAGAACCAGCAAAGCAATAACAAATCAATATCCACTTGCCATATAAGTCAACCGGTATCGCGAGCTATATGATGTGCTGGTGCTGAAGGAACTCGTCCATTGTGAGTGTGTGAGTGTGTGGTCGATGGTCGAGTAGATTGCAATTGCAATTTGGCATGCCGCTTAAAGTTTCCTGCAATGCGTAATTTGGTCGTCTGGCTGGAGCAGCACATGAATGATAAGCTAATCATGCATTGGCCAAGCCTTGGGCTTCCGTACTAATGTAATTATGGACTACTACTACTACTGCTTGCCATGACAACCCTTGGCGCGCTGCCTCTAGTCCATTGCTTGCTTATTATGGTTCGGATTCAATTTAATTTGATACGCACGGATTTTGCGACTAGTTGCAGCAGCCGCAGCAGCAGCAGCAGTAGCAGAGTTCGGCAGTTCGAGTCGATTGAGCTGCATCTACATATATATGTATGTATAGCCCAAAAATTGTTTGCAGTTCAACTGTGGCTCAATTGACCAGCCCCACACACTAACGAGCAGGCAGCTCAACTGGCTGAAGTTATGGCCGGACGGGTCACAGTCCGGCCGGGCAAGGGCAGGCCAGGCGAGGGCTGGCCACGGCAGGACGTTGCTGCAATGGACAGGACAAGCAATGTTGTACTCATCGTCGTCGTCATCATCATCATCATCATCATCATCAACGCCGTCGTCGTCGTTGTCGTTGTCGTCATGCAAAACTCATTGGAGTCGTTAGCGTGCGTTGTGGCAGGCTCCAACGCCCAGCTAGCCCAGAGCCAAGGACATAAAGCACAATGCAGGCACTCACACACACACACACACACACACGCACGCACACGCTGACAGAGGCGCCTGATTGTAGTGTGTGTCGTGATGAGCATTGTCGAGCTACCGCTTGGGCTTCATTGATCACAGAGAAAGAGAGAGAGAGAGAGAGAGAGGCAGAGAGACAGATATACAGACATACGTTTGCCCGTGACCCAACAGTTATTGGCTTAATTTACGTTTGGGTTTTGCCCGCCTGATTTTTTTCACGGGCCAAATAATGTGATAGTGGTTTTTCACAATTTACGCACTGGCCATGGCACCGAAATTAATTTTAATTGTATGCTCGTGTGTGAGCACTTTTTATGCACGCGTGTGTGTGTGTGTGTGTGTGTGTTGGACGGGTTCCATTTTAAATTACCCGACATTAAAAAGAAAGTAATTATTCAAGTTGTGTATTTCACTCTCACTCTGTCTCTCTCTTACTCTCCCTCTCTCTCTGGCAATGAAATTGGGTTCATTATATTGTTGTTGTTTGTTAATTGCTGAAGGCCCTCCACATTGATAGGCATATCTGTCGGTTTAATGGCGTGCGCTCCTGTTTTTACCTTTTGCACGGTGCACAGCGCGCAGCTCATTAAGGCTTCGATATCCTGCCCGATATCCTTTAGCGCTTGATGACTTCGTCTTCTCTTACACATTTTCTTCATCTTCGGCACTCATTATACAAGCAGCGTCCATTCGATTGATGCGTTTCCTTTTTCCTGTGCCACTCGCCCATCATCTTTTCATCCGTGATGGCAAAGGATATCAAATTGCTTGACAGCACGTGGTTGGCATTTTTAATCTGTGGCTCGTTTTTTATTGTTTTTGCGTGCCGCAATTATTCTTAATGAATTTTTGGGGAAACAGCTTGAACAGCACTTAAATTCAATTATATTTGAGTTTTAAATCTATTTTTTTTTTCGCTTATGAATAGAAATCCGAAAAGATAATGCTTACACTGAGCACATTTTATTATGTTACTTTTGCACCAAGCCAATATACTCTGCTTGTTTTATGAACGAGCATAAATAGCAATCGATATCGCAGTGAAGCGCACTTTAATTAATAAATATATAATCGGGAAATTCGTATTATTTTACATGAACCAAAACCAATATACTCCCTTTAATCCAGGAGCGGGAGTGAAATATCGATTACATATCGAACCTAGTTTCATTATTCTACTTGATGGGAAACTCAATGCCCTTGCCCACGCCCTAATTATGTTATTTATTCAGGTGATTCGTGAATGGACGATTTGTCTTATTCAAAATAGATATTTTTGTAATGAACACATCAAACATAATTAAAGAGAAAGCGAAAAGTTAATGAAAACTAAACTCAAAGTAAATGCAGAGAAATGAATGAAAAGGAAACGAATAAAAAATAAATATAGTCGAGAAGTATTCTTACCATAAATATAACATATATATAATATAAGGAAGTTCTTGCCGACATTTTCCACAAGTCAGTTTAATGCCTTAGAATATATATGCTACATCTACATATATACTATAACTGAATGCCTTTGCAGTTAACTATAGACGTGTGTCTGCTTATATATGCAGACAATCGCCATTGTCTATTTGGCCCTTAGCATTCTGGCCATTTGTGCAATTTAAGTTTTCATTTGTCATTTGCTTTTTGCCGTTGCTGCCAATTGCAATTGCGATGCCAGTTCAAAATTGAATTTGGCCCATAAATGCAACAGCAACAACAACAAGAACAACAACAACAACAACAAAGAGGCAACTGGCTGCTGCCATAACGCTACATAAATAAACCCATTGGAACTCGCATTGCAGCTGCAGTTGCAGTTGCAGTTGGAATTGCTGCCGCTCCTGCTCCTGCTGCCGCTGCTCCTGCTGCTGCTGCTGCTGCTGCATGGTCGATTGGCTGCTGCCCAGCTCCTAGTTTCGATGCGGCTTAGGATCTATGGCCTGCGGGCCCTTGCCGCGGCCAGCCAGCCCCACCAAAAATGCGTGTGCATTGTGATGCGGTGGCAGCCATTCGATTTTATAATCAACAATGCCAAACCAAAGTGGAGTCACAGCTTTTGTCCCGCCACTCCTGCTGATGTTGGCTCATAATTTTAATTATACTGAGTGCCAATGAAGTCAACAGCCATAAGACTAAAGCGGGCAGCGATTGATGTGGCGGTTGGGCTGCGGCTGGAGTGCCAGAGAAATTCACGACGCAGGGGCGAAGGCCGCACAGGGGATCAGCATAATCTATGTATGGCCATTGCCATTGCCATTGCCAGTGCCAGTGCCTTTTAGCATTAGCAACAGCTGTCTGACTTTCCACTGCATTTATATTTATTATGATGCCACACGGCTCACGGTTCACGGTTCACGGTTGGCGGAGGTTACGGTTCATGCATGCGGCGCCCGGATATATTAGCGACGCGTTGAGCGATGCCATGCGATGCGCTGCGACGCAATGGTTCGCTCAATAAACCGCAAACACTGACCCAAGCAGGGTAAGAGGGGCGGAATGTCAAAAGATACACGCATGCAAGACACAGGAAACAGGACGCAGGACGCGAACACGGACACAGCAGCCACACACACGAGCCACAAACTGTGCTGAACATATGGACGAATGCAATATTTTATTTTATATATTATTATTACGGGCATTACCGTACGCCGTGCACCGCACACACACACACACACACACACTTGCACATGACCGCGCACACTCGCACAAGTGGGCAGTTTTTAGTTTTGTGGGTGGTTCCGCTGCGTGGCAGGAGGCGGGCTGCAATCAATCCGCAGACATTAATATTTTCGTGTTGCCAACCGCAAATTGTTGCGGCTCTCTCATGCGCTGCTGCAGCATCGCCAGCATCCACTTACCCCGTCCTGCCGGACTGCGGACTGTCTGCCCCTTGTGTGATATCATGCAACCCTCGATGCGGATTGAGTGGAATCATAAATTAATTAAAAGAGATTTGTTTGCGGCTTGCAAAGGATTCGGCCACACACAGTCAAACAGGAAGCTGCCAGGCGAGCAACAACAAAGAAAATGTGCGTTGCCTGATATTTTACTGTTGCTGCTGTGTCTGTGTGGGTGTCTCTCTCTATCCCTCCCTCTCGCCCTCTCTCTCTCTCTCTCTCTCTCTCTCGCTGTGTGTGTGCGCTACAAAATTAAAGCAACATTTTTCGTAATGCCAGCCAAAGAACAAAATTAATTAGCCTAATTGTAAGGGCGGTCGTGACGGCGAGCGGTGCTTGGCCCGTGGGGCCAGTTGGCAATCATAGATGGCGCTAACGAAACAAAGCGCAACGTAACGAAACGAAACGAAACGGGGCGAAATGAATGAATAGAGGGAATGAATGAAATGAAATGAATGTATAAGGAATTTATATTGCGCGAATGATGCAGAGGCGTAACGGCCAGCAGTTCTGGGGGAGTCTACCAAAACTATATAGAGCTAGACTAGAGAGTATTATAAATAATGTGCATATATAGAGTATTCTTCTTATAACTGATTAAATCATATAAATTATTTGTAAATGTGTGTAAGCAAGAAGTGACAAGCGAAATTAATGATGAGCTAAACTCAAAAAGGGGTTCGCACAGCTGCCAACTTTATGCCCAAAACCAGCAACAACAACAGAAAGACAGATACATATATATGTAAACAGATCAGAAAAAAACGGAAGAAGGGGGGAAAACAAATCTAAGCCAGCTCATTAGTCATAGCACCTTCTGCAAACAACAGCTATTTTTTGGCCGCATTGCCTGCAAAAGTGGTTGCCACAACGCCCCTGATTGCGGCACGGCGAGGCAACTGCTTTGAGGTTTTACACTTTTGGGCCATTTGCTGGGGGTTTTCGAATGCCTGCTTCGTTCGTATTCGCTGTCTGCCCTTCTTTATTCGAGTGCGGTTTTTATTTCGTTCGGTCGCGTCACCCTCGGTCCTGGCATGCCCAAGGAGTAACGTATTTGACGCGTCACAAATGAAAATCTAAAAGATTAATTAGCTCAAGTTTTTGGTCGTTCGTCTTGCCCTGAACTTCCCTTCGACAGCGCAAAGCCCGCGCAAATCTGCGCCGACTTACCAACTTGGCAAGCCCCCTCCGGCCGGCGGTCCTTGGGCCCGGCGGGAGTATTTGAAAATCTGCTGGCAAAGCGCCTTTTGGGGCTGTAATAAATTTTAAGTCCTAATCAAAGTTGACAATAATAATAAAGTTAATAATGTTATTTTGCTCCTCTCTTATACTTTCTCGTTCTCTTTCTCTTTCTCATTCCCGTTCTCTGCAGCGACTCAAATCCGGTGCTGATTTCATCACCGCCCGAATTGGCTGGCATGACTTTGGAGGCACGTCTGATATCCTACGATTGGGAAAATCAATTTGGCGAGTTTCAGGAGGCAACACGCAAAGGCAGCTTTAAGCCCATCTGCTGGGGAGCCAAAAATCATGTGGTGCCGGTGAGTAAGCAACTTCGATTTACCCAAAACGATAAGTGTAACCAAGTGAAAGTCACAAATTAAACGTAACAGAACGGAAAGCGGAATGCGAAGGATATATACTCTAACAGTGTGTCTACAGCGAATGTAAACTACATTAAAACTCACTGAATACACATACACGCAAAATCACTTACAGCTAGACACATACACACATACTTATAGTGGCAGCCATATGCTTGATAGTTGCTTTTGAAAGTGCGCGCACTTGTTATCCCGCTCTCACACATGCAAATACCAATGCAAACATGCAATCAATTTGGATTGGAGGCATCAACTTTCTCTTATTGGATTGCGCGGAGCGCTTGCCAAGTGCACACACTGCTTGTCTCGCTTATGCGTTTATAAACATGTGCGTACGAAGCGAGCGCGCGTCGCGTCTTGATCTTATTAGAGTGTAGCTTAAGCTCTGCTACTTGTTTAAAGAGCTTGATAAGTGCTTTGTTTATCTCGCTCGCACATATGCAGACGAGTAGCATTGAGTGAGTATATCGAATAGCGCAACCTCATTTCAATGTGTCTCCTTTCTCCCATTACACTCTTCTAATTCAGTTTCAGCGAAGCAATACAATGAAAAAGGGAATTTGATTTCAATGCGTTGTCATGAAAGACAGTCGATTTAGTATTAAGCATGAAAAGAAGTTAAATAAATTGCTAATTATTCACTTACATAAACTTAAATCAGTTAATATATCGGGAGATACAGTCTATGCTGGATGAAAAATGCTCGTTAGCGCGGCTATGGGAACTCGAATGCCAACATAGTATATACAGTTGAAGAGGAATGGCCATCGTAAGCTGCTGTCACAGTTGAAATCGCATTAACCCTTCGCATGTCAACTCTATTTTATCTGCTCTCTGATCGCTGGCAACATTTTTATTTTTACATTTCTCCTTTTTTCCTTTTTTGCTGCAGCTTTCGCTGCTTCTGCTGCTTTACATCCATCAGCTTAATCAGCTAAATTGCTAGACAATATCTGGGATAATTTTTCTTGCTGACGGTTGGTTTGAGAGCCAGCGACCCACCCACACACACACACACGGACATACAAACACATAGTCACACTCACTAACACACACGCAGTCCGCACACCCACACACGCAGATGCTAGACAAGTGCTCATTTATTCATCGCGAGGAGTATGGGCAAAAGACATTAGAGGCATCCTAGTCTCACAGTTGCCGTCCGCAGCCCCACTGGCTACATCCCTCTATCACTCTCGCTCCCATTGGCTGGCCATGAGAGGGCTTGGATAATGTGGCTGCAGCAAAGCGGGTAATGTCTACCGGAAACCGCACGTTATAAAGTGCAATCAATTGCAGTTGCTGGCTGCCTTGTGCCTTCTGCCTGCCTGCTGCATGCTGCCTGCTGCCTGATGGCTGGTTGGCCAGCTCGATGGCTCGATGGCTGGCAATGGGCAGCATTCGAGTTTGTTAGCGCCACTTTACGGGCCAGACGCGGCTCAAGCGGACCACAGCAGAGCAGAGCAGAGCAGAGCAGAGCCGAGCCAACCAGGTCACATATATATCAGCCGGCGCACACGTACAGCTTCGACAACGATCATTCTAATGGGTCACACACTAAAACCAAGTCGCTAGCCAGCTGCCAGTCAGCCACACTAATTCACGTCCAATGGCTCAAGCGATTCGTCCAACCAACGAGCCACCCACCAACTCACCGAACCACCAACCCACCCACCGACTGACTGGCTGGCTGAATGAATGCTCCCATATGACCGTGCTTCTAGTCGCTGGAAAATTGTAGGAAATTGCTTAAGTTGGGAATTGTTGCCATTTTCTTCTCGATTCTTTTATTTTTTGTGCCCCTGGCTGGTGGGAAGCAAAATTATCAACGCTTGAATTGTCATCGATTTTCCGTGCTATTGCGTTAAATGTTGTTGACCATTTCCAGCTTGGCTTGAGTTTCTCTCTCTCTCTCTCTCTCTCTCTCTCTCTCTCTCTCTCTCTCTCTCTCTCTCTATCTCTCTCTCTTCCTCTCTCTGCCTGCCGCTGCCTTTTTTTTTTATTCTTCAGCTGTCAAGTTAATAATTCATTGAGGCTGCCCCGAGGCATCGGCCATACCCATCCAATTTATAAAGCCTCGCAGCGCTCAAATTAGCAGCGCGAGAATAAACCTTATCCAGCCGATAAAATAGTTGAGCAGCCCGGGCAAATTATGAGCAAACATGTCACCCAGCCACTGCAGATTGAAAGGTAAATGGCGTTCAATCTGCCGTAAAAATTTACAAGGCGCCTTCACAAAGAGATGGAGACTGAAAGAGAGACTGAAAAAATGATGGAAAAACTTGCTCCATTTGGCCATAGTTGGCAAACAAAAAAATTATCAATGGCTAAGCGGTAGACAAAGGAGTTTTCCCCTTTTTCACAGATGCTCGTTGGGCTGGAAGGCCTAGTTTCAAGTATAGGAAAATATGAATTTCATAAATTTTATTTCATAATTAAAAAGTTTTACAAGGCCAGCAAATGTTTAGCTTTCGATTAGATCCAGCTTATAGCTTAAAGGCCAATAATCTTTCCTTAAATTGGATGTTTCAAATCAAATCCCTGCCCTGTTAGCTCGGCTGCTCTAGTAAACTGCTTCAGTCTGTGAACTATTTTAAGCCCTTTTTAACTGGATTCGTTTCAAACAAGTTGTATTTATAAACTGAGTGAGGATTACCACACATGTTATTGTTTTGCCCGAAATTCCAGCGAAAGTTACACCTGCCTGACTACAGAAATTGCCTGGCAACATTAATTAGCATAAAATCAGGTGGGGTAGACTATTGGGGCGGGGGGAAAAAACACGATAGCGTACTTGGGCATTTCCCATGTCATATCAAAAAGTCGCTGAAACGGTCAGCGCCCCAAAAATCAGGGACAGCCCTCAGCTAATTAGCATGTCAAAATCCGAAAGGAATCTGTACGAAATCCTGGCCATGCGTGGGCTTAAAGCGCGGCAATTAAGGCCTTAAATTTATGCACATTTTATAATTTTGTTGGCCCCGTGAGCAAACCCGTGCATTCCTTTTCAATTATGCTGTCTCGCTGTCCCACTCTCGCTCTCTCTCTCTCTCTCTCTCTCTCTCACTCTGTGGGTTGACGGCCACAACAATAACAAGAGGCAAGGCAAACCCCAACCACAGACACCTTCAAAAGCCACCCACAAAATGAAAGCTGTCCAAACACACCTGCAAATGTCTGTCAAGTATTTCTTTATTTTTTCCACTTTTTTTTTGTTTTCTGTTTTTGTTTTTGTCCTGGATCTGTGCTGGGGCTGAACGTAAAACGATTCTGAAAATGCCTTTTGAAAAATTCAACAGCCAACAACAAACAAACGAACGGAACGGAACGGAACGTAACGTTGGTTCCTGTTGCCAATGTTGTTGGCCGGGCGCACAATTTGCATAATATTATTAGTAAACACTCGTTATGAAGTCTCTCACGCCCAGCGTGCGGCACGCCCACTGGCAAAATGCAGACATTCACTCGATTTAGATATTTTTCGACGGCCATAAAACATTTGACCGCAGCCCCAAAAAGATCCAGCCCCAAAATCCAGAGTCGAGACTCGCGAATCCCTCCCACAGACCGCACAGAGACAGGGCGGGAAAGAAAGAAGGAAAGAGAGAGAGAGAGAGGGAAGAGCAGAGCAGACCCTAGCGTGTCCTGCCCAGTTCCATTGCCATTGCCATTGCCATTGCCTATTTATAAACACAAATTTATGCAGCGTAATTAAAAGGCAAAATTTTGCCCGCTGGATTCGGATCTGAGGAGTGGAAAACGACAAATCTGATGGCTTCATTGTGTTCGTTTTGTGCTTGGGCATCTGTGTGTGTTGGTGCCTGCGTAGGTGTGTAGGTGTATAGGTGTTGTAGATTTGCGCCCTGAAGCCAGAACGAGTGGAGCGTCTAAATGCGGCATAAAGTACGTTTAATCACGGCAATCGTCTGGAATAGCGCACAACTCGAAGCCACGAGCTTTAATTCGTTTCCAGATTTCAATTCCAATATGAATATGCAGATTAAATATAGCAGGTATATCAGTTGCGTCTTATAAGAATAGAGTGAGAGAGAGAGAAAAAGAGAGACTGACCAATTAGTATTTGTCACTTTTGAAAAGCTGAAGCTGTTATTGTAATGTATGTAAATGAATCAGAATACCTTGAAATAGAAATAAATTAGTCTTTATTGAAATATACACTGTTCGGAATTAACAGCGAACTTGAGAGCAAATCTGATCAGGTTCGCATAGTGTTAATGTTATATTATGACACCATGATGTGACAATCTATATACACTGTTCAATTCTATATCTTTGATTAGAGAAGAAGGCAAGATTTCCTATTATCATGTATCACTGATTCCAACCGCACTCTTCGCACTCTTTCTGTACTTCTTAATACATTTATGTATTCCTCATGCAGCTTATCTTTCCAGCTCACATCGTTAGGTTTGTGCATTACGAATCTCCACTTCAGTCAGCTCAGCTGTCAGTTTAAACGGCACAACTTCACTCACCTTATCTCCATTTATATTTGAGCATTTCGTAACTCACAGAACTCTTGTGGATTTACAAGCAGACATGCACAGAAATTATTATATATGTATAGTACTACAGTATTTATAAATGAGTGCAGAGATTGTGGCTCTTAGCTGTTCGGTTGGTTGGCTCCAGCGACAAGGACATAAAAGCATTTTTCTTTTAATTTCCTTTCACTCTCGGTGCTGTGGGCGCGGACCATTTGCTTGAGCCGGTCTAACATAATAGTTGCGGAATGAAGAAAAATTTAATTAATGTTGTAATTTATTAGATGCAGAGCGAGCGCTAATGTTTATCCATTTCCCTTCTTTTCGCAGGGCTCCGAGTTTCTCGAAGGCTACAGCATAAATGTGACCAAAACCTACAAGAAGCACAAGCGCTGCAAGCCGAAGCGCCTCTTCGCCCCCATCACGGAGCGCACCGCGCCCGCTGCAGATCTGAGCGAGCTGCCGGTGCTCCACGAGCTGGACAACAACAACATCATCGAGGGAGCTGCGCGCAGCAGTCGCAGCTCGGCGACCGACGGCCACGGCGGACTGAGCGGCGCCAGCGGCAGCAACTGCAACCAGCTCACCAGCGGCAGCTGTCTGCTGTGGCTGTGGCTGGGCGCCGCCTCCTGGTGGCTCTTGCTGCTGCCCAGGACGTGAGGAGCAGAGCACTATCCACAGCAGGCCCAGCCACAGGCGCAGCAAAAGGCACAGCAGAGCGAAGAAGCAGCAGCAGCAGCAGCACAGGCACCACCGTCTAACTACACTATATATACATAAATACTTAAAAGGCAAAAGCAAAACGCAACTACAACTCTTTAACTATAAATGACAGCTCTTAATCCTACTACAGAACAACAGGCAAAACAAACACACACACACACACACACACAGCAAATAACAAAATGCGAAAGCAACATAAAAAAAATAGATATATTAATTATTTATGATAAGCTAGATACCCTTTATGGCACCACTACCTACCCACCTACCTCCTCTCCCACTCCGCCTCCGTCTACGTCTCCTGCTGTTTCCCACTGTTTTATTTATGCCGAAGTCTCGCAAGTTTTTGTTATTTTTGTTCTAGCTCTTAGTAAATTATTAATGATTTGATTTTAAGGTACCTTAAGCAAACAAAAAAATAAATGAAAAAAGAGAATCAACATAAAAATCATCAAAAAATGAAAAAAAAAATCGTAAAAAAAAAAATAATTCGCGTACCGCATTTTTTAAAAAACCGAAAAGCAATAATTATTTGTTGTTGTCGTTATATGATATACAAGAAAGCAAATATATATACATAAATAGAACGATACGATATTACAAAAAAAAAAAAAAAAAAAAAAAAAAAAACTAGAGCAGTCATTCCTTCTACATAATAGTTTCATTATATAGTGTATATATATGAGATATATATATATATATGGTATATCGGGTCTGACTTATGTAAAGCTTGAGCGTCTGATGATTTTTGTTGGACATTGCAAGACACAATCGCAACTGAAGAGATTCAGAAAACAAAAGAAAAGAAAACCACTTGAGCAAAGGCATCTAGATATATATATAGGGCGACTAAGCTAAACATACATTAAAATACTCGTATATATAGATCATAGATAAAGATAAAGGTAAAGCATAAAGCATAGATCATAATGCGCGAAACATAATACACACACACACAACACATTAAAGCCCAGTTAAGTTTAGTCACTCGTAGTGTGCGCAAACTAAGGAACTAAGTTCGAAGCGTAGATAAGAAAACAAAAGAAAAAACATAAGAAAAAGGCATTAAAACATAAACTACATACATTACACATATAACATTTATACGTCCATATATAAACAAGAAAAGAAACAGAGCAAACAAACAACTAAGTAAAAGAAAGATTTATTTAGTTAGTTTAGAACGTTTGGAAAGACTTGCTTTTGAGAAATGGCGTCAAAGACTAAGCGAACTTTTCAGTTAACTATGATTTCAGTTAAGTGTAGCCGAGACCCAGACTAAATTGATATTTTACTATACATGTATATGCAAATTCGAGTTTAGGGCCAACCCAACTAAGCGAAAAGAAAGTTTCTTTAAGCCATCTGTCATCTGTCTATAATAATAGTTCTACTGTATATTTCTGTTGATTTTCTGTAAGCTATGATAATACTCGCCGACTATCGTTTATGTATTTAACACTAAGTTCTATTTCAGTTACTATTCTAAACTAAACTCAACTAAACTCAACTCAACTCAAACACAAAATGCTCTACACTCAAAGTGTTGCCTTTCTCTCTCCGTATATACATATATATTTGTATCGTTCAACTCTGTCTCTCTTCTAGCTATAACTAATTGTATGCTAGATTTAACTTGTAAATACTTTATATATATAAATAAAATGTATTCGATAAGGCAACTTCTAAGGCAAAAGTAAAAAACAAACTCGGTTTTCGGTCAGATATTTCGCCAATGAGAGGAGCTAAGCATTATACAGGGTGTGTGAGTAGGTATTTCGAATGGGCCTAGATATATATAGAGGTATATATGGGCTACTCCTAGACTATATATATACACATATAACTTCTAGCTGGAGGTAGTTAAAATATACCATATACATACGTGCATACATACGATTACGATATATATATACACACATACACACATGAATACATTTATATATACATATACATATAAATAACTATTACCATAAAGTCTATATATACAATACATCTATAAGTAGTTACGTGGTTCGTAGTTGTAAATGTGAATGTGAGTATTTTATACAAAACCGAAAATATGAATAATAAAAAAAAAAAAAAAAAAACAAAATGGCAAAGCATGAAGCAAAGCAAATAAATAAAGAGAAAAATAAAATCCCAAAACTAAAGTTAAAATTTTTATACAAAACAAAAAAAGCAGAGCAGTTCGCGCGATTGCTGTATGAGTCTATATATATATATATATATATATAACATAAATGTATATATATACAATATATATATATGGAAAAACTATATAGTATATATTTTTAGGATAACTGCTATTAACTATGGCATTAACTATGGGTTAGAGACAAGTTGGCAAATGCAAAGTTGAAACAATCAAAAAATACCAAACACAAACAAACACACATATTAAATGGAACGTGCGCAAGCTGACAAAATGTTGGTCACAAATAAAAACAATATATATACATATGTATATACACAATCACACACCTTTATACAAAAAACACCTGCAAAATAATTTCGAGCTCTGTTAGAATTTGAGAAAAAATAAATAGAAATATGCAAAGTTTGTTGTGCAGAACAGTCGAGCGCTGCGCCTGTAGGCGTGGCCGCTAAATATGGGCCAAAATGTTTGAGGTTTTTTTTGTGTATTCTCTGCCTCACTTTTTATTATTTTTATTGTATTCTCTTCCTGCATTCAGTCCACTTGGCGTGCAACTTTTTTCGTCCGAGCCTGAAAGCGCACAAAGCATTGACCCACTAAAAAAACAACAATGAGTGTGTCTAATTAGGGAAAAGCACCCACACCAGGCCCACCTGGCTGCCTCCCTGACCCCCCTCCTCATCCCTTCCAGAATGGCTAGCGAAGGAAAGCCGGCAAGTGTGCAACAAGCCAAAAGGTATTCACCGTTTTCTTTTTGCGACTCCGGCTCCGGCTCCGGCTCTGTGCCATTTCAGAGTCTCGCTTTGGCCGGTTTTTTGTGCAACATTTTAATTAAGAGTTACAGATTCGCCAAATGCACACAGAGAGAGACTAAAGCTTTGACGATTGAGTATTTGTTTTGGCCTTTGGCAAGAGCTACACCCACAACAACAACAACAACAACAACAACGACAACCACACAGACAACATCTACACTGCACAAAAACCAAAAAAGAATGTAATAATAAAAAGTATTCATATAATTTAGTTAAATGCTAACAAAAACGGTTTTGGAAAATGTACTTGCTATCGCTACGACGACAAAAGTCAGAAAATAGTTTAAAAAACTACAGAAACAAAAACTAAAAAAACTAAAAAAAAAAAAAAACACAAAATACATTTAAAATCGAAATGAAACTAAAGTAACAAAAAGTAAAGTATGTAACACTGCAGCTAAAAAAGTAAACGAAAACTACATATACAATGCAAAGCAACAAATACACACATATACAGATACAGCCTCACACACACACATACAAATAGAAAAAATGTAGCATGCTTTTCGGCGTTTGGCCTTTGGCTTTTGGCTTTCCCGAGCAGATTTGCAGGCGATATTTGTGCAAAGTTTCCTTCTTGCTAATGAAGTTATATGCAACAGAGCTTGACAGAAACTAAAAACAATATGAGAACACGAACAAGAAAATAAACGAATATACGAATATATATATGGATGGATATCTGTAACTTTAGAGGATTGATTTTAAGTAATCAACAATAACAAGCTCGAAGCACACAAAAACTGAGCGAGTGATTTCCATGGCTAGTTGAGCTACCTTTCAGTTTTCTTATTTTCAGACTCTGATTTCCTCTGCCAAAGTTTGTTGACCTATTATTGTAGTTATGCAGAAACTCTGCCATTTACTTAGATTTAAATATCAAATGAAAATGCTTTGCTCTCCTCTGCTTGCCACAGCTGCTCATAGAATCGCTGCATTACTCAACTAATGCTGTTGAGCGAGCTCTACTCTTCAGCTATTCCTAGCTCTATTCAAGGCAGCTAATCTATTTATTTTCACTTTTTTCCAAGTCCTTCCAATTAGCTGCTCGTTCGCTGCAATTTCAGCTTCTTAATTTCCTGCCTCTTCGCTGCCGCAACCAATGCCACAGCCAAAGCCAAAGTCAAAGCTAACAAATCCTTTGTCTATGGCTGGAAAGCTGTGCTCGTAAAGCTGCTACCTGTACAATTACCTGGGCACAGTCAAAGTAGCGCAAAGCCAAACAACACACAACAGCACAGAGAACAGAATCATCGTTGCATGTTAGTAGAGTACTATGCCATTAAGGCCCTTTTTATTGAAAGTTTCCCATTTTTTGTTCCGTTTCAAAAGGCATAGAAAGAACATAAAACATAAAAGTAAAAAACAAAACCTACCTAAAGCGAGAAAGTAAAAACCTAACTATTTTTAATGTGTACCTTAATTTTGAGAAAAAACAAAAACTAAAAAAAATGAATGAAACGTAACAAACCCTGAGAAAAGCGCAAAAGAAAACTCCCTATACAAAAAGAAACCCAAACAAAAGGAAAAGAAAAGCCTAATAGAGAACTAAACTTAAATATACATACATACAAATATATATGTAAATATACATATATATATATAAAGAAAATGAAATATAAACCTTAAAGTTAAAGTAAAAGCAATAAAAGGCAAACGCATAGCTATCAATATTAAACAAAAACAAATGAAGAAAATAGGTTAATAACAAACGGAAATATGACAACAAAAAAACTAAAGCAAATAGAGAGGATAGCAAATAGTTTTGAGAATTGAGTGGAAGAGTATAGAGTGAAGAGTGTAGCATACTTTGTGGGGCTAGGGGGGCAGCCTTTTGGCTGGGAAGTGTGCGAATGCGTAAGATATTGTGAGGGTAAGTGAGACAGTGAGAAACTGGCATATGATACGATGATATAAAATTAAAAACTATTTTAAAGTAGAGCAGTTGCAAATATTTAAATGTGTCGTTAGTAGCTGAAAATAAATAAAAATTGAATGAGAAATCCAAAAAAAAAAAGAAGTAAATAAAATAATAGTAGCAGTGTCTTTAGCCATAGTAGAGGACGACAAAGTAGATAAAGACGAAACTGAAGAAGAACATACATACCATTACATACATACATACATCAATCAATCAATCAAACAAATAAACAAAAGCGAACGGCAAACGGCATAGTTACATACATCATAGCATT